CCAGTAGAAGGCGGGAGACCAAGAACCTGCTGAAGGAGCGGAACGAAGTACGGCCGAGGCCGCGCGGCGACTCTAGACACAGCAGGGACACCACCAGTACCCCCAGCGGCAGCACCAGCACCAGCAGCACCTCCAGCTCCAGTACCTCCAGCAGCACTAGTAGCACCCACAGCAAGACCGCCTCCAGGACCGACAGCAGTAGCCTCCGCGCTAACACCCGCAGCAGCTCCAACTCCAGAAGTACCCGCAGGCCCAGCAGCTCCAGTACTCCCAGTACGAGCACCTCCGGGACCCGCGGCACCAGCACCCTCAGCAGCAGCAGAACCTCCAGTACCCGCAGCACCTCCAGCTCCACCAGCTCGCCTCCAGCGCCGGGCAAACCACTCACGCAGCTCCTGTGGAGAGAGTGGCTCCCGGCGAGACGAAGCACCCGGAGAACCGCCAGGCACAGCACCGCCACACGCCACACGAGCAGGCCCAGCTCCCTCAGGCTCAGCACCTCCAGGCTCAGCACCTCCACGCGTAGCACCCCAAGGCGTAGTACCCCCAGGCTCAGCACCCCCAGGCTCAGCACTCCCAGGCTCAGCACCCCCAGGCTCAGCTCCCCAAGGCTCAACACCCCCAGGCTCAGCACCCCCAGGCTCAGCACTCCCAGGCTCAGCACCCCCAGGCTCAGCACCCCCAGGCGTAGCACCCACACCCTCAGCACCCCCAGAGTCAGCACCCCCAAGCTCAGCACCCTTAGCAGCACCAGAGTCACCAGCGACCTCGACAGGCTCAACAGCGTCTACTTGGGACACACCTGAAGGGGCAGGACCCTGAGGGGGGAGGGGGTCTATCGAGGGGGGACCTGGCACAAGGAAGAGCGGTGGCGGGGGGAGGGACGGAGTGCGGTAGGGGAAGAGACGGTAGTAGGGGACCGACTCGTCGAACGTGACGTCCTGGGAGGACAGAACACGGTGAGAGGTGGGGTGGTAGAACTGCCACCCTGGCGCGTCAGGGTGGAAACCTAGGAAGACACAGGGAGCAGCACGAGGGGACAGATTGTCCGCAGATAAGTCGCGGACAAACGCCCGAGATCCCCAGACACGGAACGCAGACGCATCGCCAACCTTCCCCGTCCACAGCAAAGCTGGGGAGGTCTCCGGCATGGAGACCCTGGGCTGAAGGTTGATCTGATGCGCCGCGTACCGGACCGCAAACGGCCACAGAAAATGGGGGGCAGCCGCATGCATCATGGACGTACGGGCGACGTCCATGACCATGCCAATGCGGCGCTCAGCAATCCCATTTTGTTGTGGAGAGTCCGGAAGCGTGAAGGTCTGGCGGATGCCTCTTGCACGACAGTAGGCTCGCAGAAGGCCAGAAGAGAACTCTCCGCCTCTGTCAGAGTGCAGACGCAGAACAGGAAAGTCCGAGCCGAAGTTCCGCCTGAGCTGGAGACGAGCTGCGCGGATCTTGTCGATCAACACCCCAGTGACATCACCCTTGCTATGCAAGGGGAAGATTGTGGTGTAACGCGAGTAGTCGTCAACCACCAGCAGGAAGTAGCGCTCGTGACCCTGTCCACAGACGCGGGCCGGGCCCCACACGTCCATGTGAAGCGTCTGCAGTGGGGCCTCTGTCGGAGGAAACTGAGAGGAGTGAGGGGCAGCCCGCTGCCGCCCCTCGACATAGGGGACGCAGGTAGGGCCAGGCCCCGGAGGAAGGGGAGGGAGGGACCGGGGAAGACCAGAGACAAGGACACGGGAGGCCATGCTTCTGAGACGATGCAGGGAGCGGTGACCAAGGCGGTGGTGCCAGAGGAGAGTCTCGTGAGACAGGAGACAACACGAGCAGGGGGCAGACTCAGGACCGGACCTGGACGCTGCAGCAAACACCTGACCCGACGCAGCTACCTGACTAGACGCAGTGACTGGAGGAGACGCAGTGGTCAGCGTGTACAGGCTCGACCCCGGCCGACGTGTAAACGTGGCCAGGTGTCGGCCTGTCCGAGCGTCCTTGCAGTGGGTCACCCGCTAACTCGCAGGAGTGAACCGGTGAACCCCCGCATCCTGTAGGTCAGCACCACTCACCAAGTTCGTAGAGAACGAGGGGAGGTAAAGACCAGACAGGGTGCCAGAGGGGGCCGCCGAACACGGGAGGACAGTGGAGAAGTGAGCAAGGACAGGACCCCCAGAGGGGTCTGCTAGAGAGACTGCAACTGGCCGACCAAGCGGCGTGAGTGTGGTGCGGTCTCGAAAGAAGGAGCGGGAAGTCCCGAGTCAAGAGTGAAGGTGTGAGAGGCCGGAGCCGATGCGGTACCTGAGAGAGCAGACTCATCCGCACCTGAGGAAGCAGACTCACTAGCACCTAGAGCAGCAGCCGCACCTGTACCTGGAGCAGGAGACTCACTAGCACCCAGAGCAGCAGCCTCACCAGTAACTAGAGCAGCAGGCTCTATACCTGGGTCAGGCGGTACGCACAGGTGACCGGCACGGTCAGCACTAGTAGGCAATGCATACATGGCAGTGAGAATAGCATCATAGTCAAGAGCAAATATATCTACCCTCTGCCTAAGCAACTCCACCCAGTCGGGGAGCTCAGCCTCGTCGCCAAACTCGGTACGCCAGGCGTCGCTCAGACGGGCGAAGCAGCGGGACTGTGTGTGACTAGGTGTCCCACAAGGCTGACCAGTCCGAGCACCAGTGCGAATCACTCTGAGCGTACCACTCACGAAGCTGCTGGGGCGTGAGAGACGTGCGTGGGCGTCGCTAGAGCTGCATCTGGCCGCCGCCAGTAGTAGTAGCAGCAGTAGTGGTAGCAGTAGCAGCGCCGCCACCCCTACAACCCCAACCAGCGTACCACTCACGCAGCTGCTGGGGCGTGAGGGACTCACGCGGAAGTCGCTGGGGCTGCATCTGGCTCCGCCAGTAGAGGTAGGAGCAGTAGTAGCAGCAGTAAGGCGAGCAGCCAGGCAGGCCGAAAGGCAGGCAGGCAGGCAAGCAGGCGGCGGGCAGCGCGCTAGCAGGGCAGGGGCTCACCAATGGTGGGAAGAGCAGGCTCGGAGACTCGGCGACTCGGCGGTGCGGGCGGCTTGGGCGGCTCGGCGGCACGGCGGCTCGGCAGCAACTGCGGCTCGGCGGCTCGGGCAACTCGGGCAGCTCGGCGGCAACTGCGGCTCGGCGACTCGGCGGCTCGGGCGGCTCGGGCGGCTCGGGCGGCTCGGGCGGCTCGGCGGTACGGCGGCTCGGCAGCAACTGCAGCTCGGCGGCTCGGCGACCCGGCGGCTCGGGCGGCTCAGGTGGCGCTGCGGCTCGGGCGGCTCGGGTGGCTCGGGCGGCTCGGTAGCAGCTCGGCGGCGCCGGCGGCTCGGTGGTGACGGCGGGGCCGCTTGGGGACGGCGGCGGGGTCGGGTGGAGCGGCGACGGGGCTAGCAGAGGTGGCGTCGGGGCCGCAGGGTAGGTGACGGGGCCAGCAAAGGCGGCGCCGGGGCCGGGAAGGGCGGCGCCGGGGCCGGTAAGGGCGGCGTCGGGGCCAGCAGAGGTGGCGCCGGGGCCGGGAAGGGCAGCGCCGGGGCCGTAGGGGTAGGCGACGGGGCCAGCAGAGGCGGGGCCGGGTCGGGAAGGGCGGCGTCGGGGTCGCCGGGGTAGGCGACGGGGCCAGCCGAGGTGGCGCCGGGGCCAGGAAGGGCGGAGCCGGGGCCGGGATGGGCGGCGCCGGGGCCGCAGGGGTAGGTGACGGGGCCGCTAGGGGGGCGGATCGGGGCCGCGAGGGCGGCGCGACGCGGCCGCTAGGGCGGCGCGACGAGATGGGGCCGCGACGGGGCAGCGAGGGGTCGGTCGCGGCTCCCCTGGGCGCCGCGACGGGGTAGCGGGAAGTGGCGCGCCTAGAAGGAACGGGGCCGCGCGCCTCGGGGCGCGCGCCAGAGAGAAAATAGGTCGCACGCCACGGGGCGTGCGACAGATCGAGTAGCAGCGGATGCAGTAGTAGGGCCCACAGGCCAGAAGCATATGTGCTCTGAAACCATGTGAAAATGAACGAGAATGAATGCACTATGAAAGAGTTGGGTACAAGTACTAACCCTAATTGGGTTGTACCTTATATAGGCTACCCCACTACAGCCTACACAAAAGCATAAGCTATAATGCTCTGACACTACCAACCCGCGACAGGAATCAATAAGCGACGTGCGCAGAAGGAGGTGCGCATGTTCAGCTCGGTACTTGCAGCGGCCAGCAGGAACGAGCGCGGTTTCCATGTTGGACTCACCGCCATGCTGAAGACGCCGGACTGGCGGGAGAACTACCCCAACCTGGTGCAGCTGTGGGTGGCGGTAGCCGTTCTGCCGCTGAGCACCGTGGAGTGCGAGCGTGGGTTTTCGTGGCAGAACATCATCAAGTCCTGGCAGCGAGGGGCGATGAAGGATGCACGGCTTGGGGATCTCATGTGCATGAGCCTCATGCAGTATGAGCCCAAGTGGGATGAGATTGTCACCATCTGGCGCAGCTGCAAGAAGCGCAAGCCTTACAGTGACGCTGCAATCGATGCAGCAAGGGAACAGAGCAGGCAGGGCACTGATCCTGCAGATCGGATGGACGTAGTCGACTTAGGAGATGGCGATGCTCTTGAATTTGATGACGATGACTGACTAGTTCTACGGTAGTTTTTTGTACAGGCTAGTAGTTTTTTGTAGTTAGCAGTAGTACTGGTAGGTAGCTTTTTGTAGTTAGTAGTAGATTGGTTGGATTGGATGCATGCTGTCCCGTGCAGTGTTAATGTTTGAATTGAAGCATGACCCATAGACAGCAAAATCACAATCAGATTAATGTCAATTGGTAACTCTGAAGAATCAGAGTTTTTATTACTGACACTCTGAAATTTCAGACTATTCTTCTTAACAGACTCAGATAGTTCAGACAACAATTCTGTACCAAGTCTGAACCCTCAGACAGCCCCAATAACGAATCTGAGGGCCTGCTGCCGGCCAATCATTTCACATCATTCTGCAGACGCACAATTCAACCAGCCAGTCCCACTCGTTTGCTTGTGCCTGCCCTGCGGTTGCTCCCTCCCCCTTCATCCTCACTCCCTTCACTTCCCGACCCATGGCTGCTCCCCCCGTCGCTGCTCCCACCATCACTGCTGCCGCCGTCACTGCTCCCCAGATCAATCTCATCGTCTGAATCCAAGCAGTTCATGTAATCATAGAAGGCCGTTGCCTGGGGGGATGGAGGGGGTAGAGAGGGAAGGGTGGAAAGGGGGCGAGGGAGCGAGCGTCAGGTGGGAGGGAACATTGGTGATACAAGGGAATTCAAGAGGGGTGAAAACAGGAGCCCAAGCAGTTCGTGTAGTCATAGAAGTTCATTACTTGGGGAGGATGGAGCGGAGGCAAAGGGAGAAAGAGTACAAAAGGGAGAGAGTAGCAGAAGGGGGGGAGAGATGGGAATGGGGGTAGAAAGTTGCACAGGACGGATGTAGGGACACAGCAGACCGAAGGGAGAGAGTACGAAAGATGATGAGGTTGAAAGAAGAGACAAAAAAAAAAAAGCGATGCAGGGTGGTAGCAGCGAAAGCACGGGAGTGGAAAAACGGCGGATAAGCAGCACAACAGTGAGTGCACGCTTACCCACCACCCAGAACAGAGATAGAAGGTACCAGAAAGAGGAGGAGACGTTGAATGATAGAGCGTGGCACCTCAAGGGGCATGGAGATGGAAGATGTGCGTACTTTAGGGCGTGGCAGCACGGCATCGAAGTGGTGCACATGGGGTTCCACAAAGTCCGGGCCCTCAAACACCAGGTACGCTGCTCTGTTGCTGTACCTCTGCTTGCGCGCCTGGTGGGCGGGCAGGCAGGTGGAGGGCAGGAGGGACGGACGGACGGACGGAGGGAGGGAAGAAAGTGAGAGTGAGAGACGAGAGGCAGCATAGGAGAAAGATAGGTGGAGAGCTAGAAAGCCGAGAGTGCTGCTGTTTGAAGTGAGAGATTTTTGAGAATTCTCAAAAGGAGAGCCGAGAGTGCTGCTGTTTGAAGTCTGGCCAGACCATAGGGGGAGAGACAGGACAGGAGAGAGAAAGGCAAATGCAGGGTGGGGATTAGGAAGAAAAGGGAGAGGCACGCAAGGGCAGGGACCTGAAACTGCGGGTCATTTGGCGCCGCGAACCACAGAGACGAATTTCCAGGTGACGCAAAAACCGCGAGCACGGGCGGGTGCGAGTGAGAACGCAGGGGGAGGGAGAATGGACCTGGTTGGTAATTTTAGAGCCAATATGAGTCAATTCAAAAGTCACCTCAAGGTGGCACAGACCTGGAACTGCGGGTAGTCAGGCGTGCTGAAGAGACGGCATTCCAAGCGGCACAAAAGCTAGCGAGCATGGATGGGTGAGCGGGAGAGCGCAAGGAGTGGCACGGCGGCACAGACCTGGAACTGCGGGTAGTCGGGCGCGCTGAAGAGCGTGAGCAGGCGGCCAGCAGGCACCTCGTGGTCCACTGTGAGGCCCGTGCTCATTGGCTTCATCTCCGGGCGCTTCTCCCTCGCGTCTGGGCCCTCGTGCGATCGCACTATGAGCTGGTGGTGGCGGAGGAGGGGGAGGAGAAACGGGGAAGGAGAGGGTGCGAAGATTGACGGTGGAAGAGAGGAAGGTGGGGAGGGAGGAAAAAGGGGAGATGGATGAAGTAAGGGGGGCCTGGCAAGACAATGGCGCAAAAGCCCACCACCCTTCCTCCTCTGCTCCTTCAGCACCACCCCCCTCACCTGAGCCCATGCGTCTCCATGAGCATCTAGGTGTGCTCCGGGCCACACACCAGTCGAGGGCTCTAAAAGATCCCTCGATGTTCCTGAATATCTGCGTGTGTGAACATCCCTCCCCTCTCACCTTGAGCCCGTGGCTTTCCAGGAACATCTGAGTGTGCCCCGGGCCAAACACCAGGCCGATATTCCTCGTCGCATTATGCCGCAGCTCGTCCTTGAGAGCAGGGTCAGACCACAGCACGTCCGCCACTATAGCATGCGACCCCGTGCCATGCGGATCCAGAATCCCTCTCCTCGTCCCCTCCAGATCCGCGATGCTTCCTAGCTCCACCTCTGGTACCTCCCGCTTCCCCCTCCTCCTCGTCCCGCCCTTCTCGCTCCCGCCTTCTGCTGCCCGGCCTTTCCCCTTCCCCTTCCCCTTCCCACCCTTCCCCTTCCCTTTCACCTTCTCCCGCCCGCCACCGCCGCCGCCACCGCCGCCACCGCCGCCCCCTCTCCCCGCCTTCCCACCCGCTTCCTCCGGGTTCCGAAACAACCCCCCATGGCACACGAACACTGCGCCGTTAACCACGGCGGCGAGGGGGTGCGACTCGAAGCAGGCGAGGAAGCGGCGGAAGAGGTGCGAGGCGGCGGGCGCGGGGTACTTGTGGCGGATCTCGTTCTGGAAGCCGTAGTGCATGGCGCAGAAGAGCGTCTCGTGGTTGCCGCGCAGCAGATACACGCGCTGCGGGAACAGCACCTGGGGGAAGGTGGACGGGGGCGTGCGGGAGTAGGGGAGCGCGAAAGGGGGACGGGGAGCGGGGAGTGGGGTCGAAAGAGGATGTGGAGGAAGAGAGGGGACACAGGCGGCGGAAACGGCGGCGGGGAAGAGGGGACGGATAAACGGCGGAGGGGTGTCTATCCCGCCGCGCCTACCTTCCAGCTCAGCAGCAGCAGATACGTCTCCAGGCCCCACGCGCCGCGGTCCACGTAGTCGCCGTTGAACACGAAGAAGCGCGAGTCGCAGGGCTCGCCCGTCAGTCGCAGCAGTCGCAGCACGTCGTGCAGCTGCCCGTGCACGTCGCCCACCACTACCACTTGCACCCCCGCCTCTCCTCCCCCTGATCCTTCCCCTTCCGCCGCCGCTTCTCCTGCTGCCTCGCCTTTCTCTCCCTCTCCTACCCTTTCTTCTCCTTCTGCTCCTACCGCGGCGGCGGCGGCGCCGGCAGAGAGTCCATCATCTACGTTCCCGCCTGAAACTGCCTCTTCGCAAGGAGCCTTCCCATCGCGCCGCGGAATCTCCTCCCCTTCTCCTCCTGCAATTTCCCCTCCCGCTCCTTCCCCTCCCCTTGCCTCGGCTTTCCCCCCATCATTGGAAACACCCGTCCCCGTCTTCCCCCCCTCTCCCGTTCCGCCTACTGCGGACGGGCCAGGTCGGGATTTCGTCGCCGCCGCGGTTGGCGCCGCCGATTGCGGCCACACGCGCACGACGTTTGGCTCCTTGTGCAGGATTTTATACGCGGCATTGAGAATGCCGTCCACAGTGGCAACAGGGAGGACGGTGGGAAGATCCTCTGGAGACACGTGGCGCGAAGTGTGGTCCAGACGCGCTGCGAACTCGCGCACCCACGCGACGGAGATCTGACCGTCGGCGGGCCATGTCACCGGCGGACAGGGGCCATCGGACGGCGGAGATTCCGCGACGGATCCGACCGCGGTATCAACGGTTGGTTCCGCACTCATTGCGCGAGCAGAACCCGCGGAAGTGGGCGGGGAGGCTCGGACTGGACGAGAGATGGGGCAGCACGGCTGGCAGGTGAATCTGGCTGGCTAGACAGTAGCACAGATTTTTCAACATGTGCTCTGCACAATTGAGGCAGGGAAATGCACAACAGTCAACAGCATCCCCGCTCTAGGATGAATCCGGAACGGCACTTCACACCGGATTCTCACTGTATGGCATTAACTCTTGTAACTGATACACCTGAGAACATGTTGTCCTGATTTTTACATAGCAAACAGCTTACTGGTGGTGTGACTCTGAACTGAATCTATAGCCAATATGCGAATCTTAAAGCACAGCAGCGTTGGTGTGCTCGATGCTGTACACTTCCATTGCAGCAGCAGCAGCAGCAGCAGCAGCAGCAGCAGCAGCAGCAGCAGCAGCAGCAGCAGCAGCAGCAGCAGCAGCAGCAGCAGCAGCCCTGGAATCACCATCTACAGCTGAGTATGGGATGGGACGGGACCCCGTGGTGGTGCCACCCTTTACCGGGGTATCATTTGCCTTAAAACGTATGGCGTCACAAACTACACAAAATCTGGTGCAATGAGTGCCAGCAAACTTTGAAATAGAGCCATAACGCGGACAAGAGGTGAAGAATCTGTCCGCAAGCCCATGTCATGAGTCTGGCGGCGGGGGAACCGTCTCTTTAGGGTGTTTAGAGCCGTAGTGGTCAACGAGCTGATTGTAATTGGCAAGCAGAACCTGGGGACATGAAAAGAGAGAATATGAGAGTAGGAGGACAGGAACAAGCGAGAAAGAACATAAATGGTGGAAGTGAAAACGCAATACAAGCCAAGGAGGACGTGAAAGAGGAAAACCTTAAAGGCTTATGAGCCAGATTCCAAATCAGTCCACTGAAGTGCAGGCCAAGAGCAAGTTTCTAGGGTCATGTTGCTCCACAACACAGAGTCACCACGGACACGGCCCAGTGGTATGTGACGGGGACGGCTGCACGGGCCTCGTGGCATTGACAAACAACCGACCGCTGGCAAAACAACAGGAACAATGCGCTCGCAATACTCCTTCGCTCCGTCGTCCGCAGCGTTAATCTCCCCGTAATTGGCAAAGAAAGAATTCCGTTATGCGCAGTGACGTCATTTGTGTAACCTTATACGACGACGCAAAGGCACCAAGATGGTACATTATGTATTAGCCTATTAAAGCAGTTCTTCTTATCGCAACCAATCAGCTCCGTACGGAGGTAGCCTCCTAAACTGGCCTACCAGTGGAGACAACATACCTTACAAATCGGGCACGTTGACTTGAAAGCGGCGGCGCGGGCCTCTAATTGCGAGCCCTTAGGCTTTTGATTCCGCGCTTCGTTGCGCTTCTGCGACTCGATCTTTTGCTTGCCACGCGTCATGATTATGCTTGGCAAGCCCAGAGGAACGGGATCGACAGATGGACCAGCGAGAAGCAATAGCGTTTGTTGCAGCACACGGTGACACCCGACGACGAGTCAGTGAAGCAGCATGACGCGATGATGCATAGTGGACAAGCGAATGCTAGCGGTCTTGAACAGATGATGCTTGCAACACAGAACACCTACCTTGATGAGAGGAGCGAAGGGTGTTGTGAGTGCAAATTAGGTGAGAGGTCTTTAGTTATTAATTTAATAAGATTGTTTTCCTCTTTTTCATCTCTACTCCAAAACAGAAGGTGCCCCTTAACGAGGACGATTTGCCAAGTTTCGTGAGAGTGCGCGCGCTGCCACGAGGCCTACTGCAATACCCGCAAAAAGGTGACAGGATATTACAATTCGCTATCAAAGACATTCACCATGTATACCGTAACGATTGTGTTGCAATTCGTGCTCGCATCAGCTTTTCCGGGGCAAACGTTGAGTGGGCTGGGTTGGCTGGGAGGGATGGAGGTGTTTTGTGTGGTTTTCCCAGACCCCCATTTGAAATTGATTACTGCCACGCGGCACACACCTGGCCGTGTAAGATCGTCACACGACCTGTGCACTCCAGATGTGGACACGTTGCTATCGAGAAGACCGCCTTGGGTGGACCGCCGACAGGTGTCGTAAAATCTCTAGCTTTCAACACGTCACTACATCCTACGCAGCAAGCTCCCACCCATCCAATACCCAACTCGTTTCCCTCAGTGCCCAATCAAGCCACCCCTATATTTTCCCACTGACACTTAGTCGTAATACATTCCCTTAACCACCTTTCACTGTTTTCCAGACTGATCCTACTCCACCTGTTTCACCGACACGAGACCCAGCGGAGGGCAGACCCGTAGCACCCTGAACGTAAAAATCCAATTTACCGTACTATTTCTCACTCCAATACTCTTAGCAGGTCAGATCAGACCAGGGTTCGTCACGACAGACCAGTTGCATTCGAGTATCTTTTCCATCTTGTGAGGGAAAAGGCAGCTCAACCCAGTTCGGCAGTCGGAAAAGGAGAGGGAGGGTTGGCGGACCTAGTCTGATTTCTTTCTGCTGGTCACTCTCCGTGACTCGTGCTGATCAGCCATGGCGGCCCTCCAGGCGTGCTCAGCGTCCAGGCTGTGCGTATCAGCAGCTTCTCGCCAAACAGCCGCGCCGCGGCGAAGAGCCACAGTCTGCTCTGCGGACTCCACTCCCCTCCTCTACAAGCCTCTCGCCGCCTCCTCGTCCACTCAGTTCACCTCCTTCTCTCCTCTCCCTTCCCGCGCTTCAACCACCATCTCTCCCCGCTCGCGCTCCCAACGCTCGTCCGTGCGATGCGCGGCGGCGGACCGTTCTGCGTCGCAGCCGCGCATGATCCAGCACAAGCAGGAGGCGTTCTGGTTCTACCGCTTCCTGTCGATCGTGTACGATCACGTTATCAACCCCGGTCACTGGACCGAGGACATGCGTGACGACGCGCTCGAGCCGGCGGATCTCAATGACCGCAATCTGCGCGTGGTTGATGTTGGAGGCGGCACGGGTTTCACGACGCTCGGCGTGGTCAAGCACGTGGACGCCAAGAATGTAACGATTCTCGACCAGTCGCCGCACCAGCTCGCGAAGGCCAAGGAGAAGGCGCCGCTGAAGGACTGCACGATCATCGAAGGCGACGCGGAGGACCTGCCGTTTCCCACGGACTATGCCGACCGTTACACCTCTGCTGGCAGGTGAGGCACGGGGTGTTAGAATTTGCGTATGTGTTTCGATGGAGCGACGCACGCAGTTGTTGAGCGTTTGGTCCTTTTTGGGGAAGGAACGATGTCAGGGCGATGGCTGACCGTCGATCTGCGCCTCCGTTATCACCGTCGGATCTTGCTCCCTTATTTTTTCACCTCGAGCCTTGCGATTAGTTTGCACGTGTCGAGATTATTCTGGCCAATTTCTTTGCGCATCGACGGTGATCCGCTTAGGTGACTGTTATTTTTAGTGCGACTATTTCTTAGCATCGAAACGTTGAAGACGTACCAAGAATAGTAAACGAAACTGGATTGAAATTCCTACCCCTAATTTTCTTATTACTAATGTCGGCCTCTTAAGGACTCCCCTCCTGATCGTCTTATCGTCTCTCATTCCTCCCTTTCTCTTCGGCTCGTCGCATCTTCCTATTTCTCCATCGCCTCGTCCTCTCTTCTTCGTCTCACTTTCTCATTTCCCTCCCTGCATCTCTCCTCCGTTACTCGCGCGTCCCTCTCCCCCTCAGCATCGAGTACTGGCCCGACCCCCAGCGCGGCATCAAGGAGGCGTACCGCGTCCTCAAGCCGGGCGGCAAGGCGTGTCTCATCGGTCCCGTGCACCCCACGTTCTGGCTCTCGCGGTTCTTCGCGGACATGTGGATGCTCTTCCCCACGGAGCAAGAGTACATTGACTGGTTCACCAAGGCCGGCTTCTCCGATGTTAAGCTCAAGAGGATCGGCCCTAAGTGGTACCGCGGGGACCGCCGCCACGGACTCATTATGGGCTGCTCCGTTACCGGCGTGAAGACCCAGCCCGGGGATTCTCCTCTCCAGGTAAGACACGTTCAGCAGTTTCTGACCATGTTTTGCTTTCGTTAGCTCATGAAGGCCGCGTTGACTAAACAAGGACAGGAATTGGACGGGGATTATGGCATATATAACGGTTGGGAAGAACCAGGCGGTGCATGCTGCTTTCAGGATCACATTGTGGCGCGGTTTATGCTGCTTTCAGGATCACATTGTGGCGTTACTACCCTACATCTTGCCTGTATCATTGAGCTGCCTCCCTCTGCAAGCAAGCTGTCATCATTTTGTTCCCCCTTGCTCCGTTCTTTGTCCTCGCACCATTGCCATCATTTCCTCTGCCTTTTCCCTTCGTCTCCTCTCTCGTTTCCTGCCTTCTCACTCCCTACTTCGCTCTTTTCCCCTTCTCCCATGCATCAGCAATTGCAAGCAGCATATGTCATCATGTATCCGTTTTCCTCTCATGGTAAACTTCCTCGTTTCTACTTGCTAATGTTTCCTTTCCTTCCCAATTTCCTTCCCCCCTCCACCCAGATGGGTCCCAAGGCTGAGGACGTGAAGGGCCCGTTCAACCCCTTCTCTTTCGCCTTCCGCTTTATTGTGGGCACCATCTGCAGTCTGTACTATGTTATCATCCCCGTCTACATGTGGCTCAAAGACCAGCTTCTGCCCAAGGACTGGAAGTTCACTGAGGACTAGGTATCTGTTTTTCGTAATGAAGTACTCCTTTTAACTTGTTATCAGTTGCTACGAAGCTTTTGTGAATTTTACTTGCCTTATAATTGTAGTCGCCAAGCAAAATCATCCAAAATGCAACTGTGCAGCTGATAAACTAACATGTACACTGATGTCAACGATGTCACCACCTTCAAAGCAGGCCCTTCAAGAACAGGGTATTGTGACACGACTTTCCGAGGAGTGTGCAGTGCAGTCGTCATGGGCAGTCCTCATGTATATCTTTGCAGGGGTGAGAAAAAGACCTTAGTATCTTTGCAGGGGTGAATTCCGGGTAGTATCAATGTAATAGTGAAGAGATTGTGAACCACCTTGCGCTGGTATGTGAGGGCAAAGTAGATTGATTAAAACAAAGAGATATAAGATTATATACGAGTACAAGGTAGGCTGTTGTTGCTGATTTCCTCGTGCATACGATGAGCCGTCAAGACTCATGGGTGTTGCTCCGTTGTTGTTGCTGTTGTGTGATTGCGCAGGTGTCGATTGCTGATGTTGCTCGTAGAAGGACATGAAGGAGTGTCAAATGTTGTAGCCTGTAGTGAGGTTTGTCTTAGGGGGTACAGAAGTTAGGGTTTGTCATATGTACCCCAACCAACATCAATGGAAACACCATTCCTCATTCTGACATGGTATCAGCTAGGTTAGGATCCTGTGGGATCCCGTTCCTCCGTTCTCCGTTCGTACCTCCCGAGCCTGATCCTACCTCTCGTTCGTACCAGTTCCGTTGTTACCGAGCCTAGCGCCCTTTCCCCCGTCGCTTAGCGCCCTTTCTCCCCGTCGCCTAACGCCCCCCCCCCCCCCCCGTCGCGTCGCGCCCTTTCCCCCCCCCCGTCACGCCCTTTCCCCCCGTCGCGTCGCGCCCGTTCCCCCCGTCGCGTCGTGCCCGCCTGTTCCCCCCCCGTCCCGTCGCCCTGTCCCGTCGCGTCGCCCTACCCCGTCCCGTCGCCCTGTCCCGTCCCGTCGCCCTGTCCCGTCGCGTCGCCCTACCCCGTCGCGTCGCCCTGCCCCGTCCCGTCGCCCTGCCCCGTCGCGTCGCCCTGTCCCGTCGCGTCGCCCTGCCCCGTCGCGTCGCTCCCGCCCTTTCCCCCGTCGCGTCGCCCTGCCCTACGCCCTGGCCCGTCGCCCTGCCCTAAGCCCTGGCCCGTCGCCCTACCCTAGGCCCTGGCCCGTCGCCCTCCCTAAGTCCTGGCCCGTCGCCCTACCCTAGGCCCTGGCCCGTCGCCCTACCCTAGGCCCTGGCCCGTCGACCTACCCTAGGCCCTGGCCCGTTGCCCTACCCTACGTACTGGCCCGTCACTCCAGCCCGCTCTTCCGCTGCGACTGAGTCCTCTTCCCCCCCGGTTGTTACTCGCCTGTTCGTTCGCTTTAGTCCTCACTATGGCGACTCCGCGAGTTCTTCGTTTCGACGCTGACGGTAGACCCCTTGACTTTTCCGTCTGGCTTCTTCGCGCTCGCCGTCTGTTAGAGAGTCAGGTCCAGGGGGGCGAGACCCTCTGGTCACACGCTACTGGTGACCTCCCTGAGCCCCCCGAGCCTACAGCTTTAGGCCCTGCTCCTGACGACGCTGCTATGGCTCGCTTTGCCCGTCAGCGCGCTGACCGGACGGCTTGGACGTCGCGTGACGCTGCGGCCTGCATCGCACTCAGCAGCCTCCTCCCTGAGTCCGAGGAGGTCCACTTTACTCAGGTTCGCACCGCTGCTGCGTACCTCACTGCGATTAAGGCCCGCTACTCTACTCCCGCTACTGTCTCTCTTGGCCGTCTTTTCCTCCCGTTCCTGTTTCCTGATCTTGCCTCGTTTGAGCGCTCTGCTGACTTGATCGGTCACCTCCGCTCGCTCGACGCTAGTTACCGCGCTGCTTGCACTGAGGCACAGCTTACAATGCTTCCTCCCCCCATGGCGATCACTGTCTATTTCATCGCCACTAGCCTCCCTGACCGCCTTGCCTCCGTTCGTGACGCGCTTCTGCTGAAGCACCCTAGTGAGCTGAGTATCGAGGTCCTTGAGTCTGCACTCAAGGACGTCGAGAGCAACCTTCGTTCGGTAGCTGCCGCCTCTGGTACTGTGTCCCCCCCACTCTTCCACGGGTGCACAGTCCCACAGTTACCCACCTTCACTGCCTCTCTTGCCACTGCCGCTACTGACGCGACTGCGGCTGCTGTTACGACTGCGTCGCGGTCCCGCGGCAGGGGGGGCAAGAAAGGTGGTTCTGGTGGAGGTGGAGGCGGAGGTAGCGGAGGTAGTGGGGGTGCTGTTGCGACTGGGGGTGGTGGGAGTGCAGCGTCTGGAGAGACCCCTCGTGCAGCGGCTGGTGACTCCACTGCACCTGCTGGTGGCGGCGACCCCCGAGCTCGTCAGTCGCCTCCTGTACTGCCGGCCCCGCTAGGTGGAGCAGCGGCGTGGTACCAGGCTCAGCGTCAGCAGCACCTTCAGCAGCAGCAGCAGCCCCTTTCCTCCCAGCAGCCTCAGCAGCAGCAGCGTCAGCAGCTGGCTCCGGGGTCGGGGCTGCGTCAGCCCCAGCGCGGTGCGGCTTACCCTCCCTGCCCCTACCAGGTTCAGACAGGTCCTCGTCGGGGCCACCCTTGTGGCCGCTTTCACCCCCCTGGTCAGTGCTTTGCTCAGCTCAGTGACACGGTCCGGTTGACCTACGGGGTTGGCGGTCCTGCTCCTGACTGGCTTCCTCTGGTTCAGCGCTACGGCTCCGCTCTGTGGGGCATGTCTGCTGAGTAGTTAGTTGATCTGATTAGTGCTCCTCATGCTATGTATCCTGTTGTTGACTCTAGTGTTTCTGACTCTGTTTACTCTGGTGTTGTTAGCTTAGGTGCTAGTCTTGCTCAGTTGCCTGTTGCTAGTGTAGGTACTTGTGTAGACTCTAGACCAGCGACTACCTCAGGGGACGCTTCGCTGTCGTTCACACTGGACTCTGGAGCCTCCCACTGCTTCTTCCGGGACAGCACGACACTTACACCACTTCCTGCGCTTGTTTCTGTAGCGTTGGCTGATCCCACTACGGGACCAGTCACTGCCCGTCACACTACCACTTTACCGTGTCCTGCTGCTCCCTCCGGGTCTCTCACTGGGTTTCACGTCCCCTCGTTCTCCCGGAACTTGGTGGGCGTGCGACCCCTCGTGAGTCAGCACGTGGGTGTGTGGTTTGAGCCTTCTGGAGAGACTGCGGTGTGTGTTGACGGAGACTCTTACCAGCCTCTTGCTACCTTTACTGCTGAGCCGGGCTCGGGTCTCTACACTCTTCACACTGGCCCGCGTGCGCCGCAGCAGCAGCCACAGCAGCAGCAGCAGCCGCAGCCGCAGCAGCAGCAGCAGCAGCAGCAGCACCAGCGGCCGCACCAGCAGCCCCCCCTACTGCCACTGCCCCCGGTTCCCCCCCCCGTTCGGGTCCCCGTGTCTCACCAGGTTGCTTCGTCCCCCCAGGTGTCTGTGTCGTGTCAGGTTCCTACGTCTGTTCCAGTCGCTGCGTCGTGCTCCTGCCGGTCGCTTGCCCACCCCACCGTTCTGTGGCACCACCGGATGGGGCACCCGTCCCTTCCTCGTCTGCGCGCTATGTCTAGTCAGCGTCTTGTCCTAGGCCTCCCACGTGTCTTGCCGTCGCTGCCGCCTTCGCTTGCGCCGCCGTGTGGTCCCTGCGTCGAGGGTAGGCTGCGCGCCACCCCTCACTCCTCCTCCCTTCGTCCGGCCACCGAGCCTTTTGAGACGCTTCACTTGGACGTCTGGGGCCCCGCCCCTCGTCTAGGCCCTGAGCGTGAGCGTTACTTTCTGGTGGTCGTTGACGACTTCTCCCGCTACACCACAGTGTTCCCACTGGCGAAGAAGTCTGAGGTGACTTCTACGCTGATCAGGTGGTTGCTCACCACCGAGGACACTCGTGGTCGTCGTGTCAGCTGTCTCCACTCCGACCGTGGGGGTGAGTTTCGCTCCGGCATTCTCGCTGGATTCTGTCGCGAGCAGGGCGTTCGACAGTCCTGGACGCTTCCAGAGTCCCCACAGCAGAATGGGGTTGCTGAGCGCCGCATAGGCCTGGTCATGGAGATCGCCCGCACCTCCCTGACTCACGCCTGTGCCCCCCATTTTCTGTGGCCCTACGCGGTCAGGTACGCCGCGCACCAGCTGAACCTCTGGCCACGTGTCTCTCGACCAGAGGTTTCACCGACCAGTCTTTGGACAGGGTCCCCTGGTGTTGCGTCGCGGTTTCGTGTCTGGGGGTGCTTGGCTCTTGTCCGTGACACCTCCGCGGACAAGCTCTCGCCTCGTGCCGTCCCCTGTGTCTTCCTTGGTTTCCCTGAGGACTCCTCTGACTTCACCTTTTACCACCCTCCCTCTCACCGGTTCTTTGACTCCCGTGACGTCCGTTTCGAGGAGTCCACTCCGTACTACGTCAGGTACCCCAGTCGAGGTCTCCCGGTTCCTCCTCCCCCCCTCTTCCTGACTGCCGCTCCCCCTCCTGCTCCCCCGGTACAGCCTCCCCCCCCTGGCCCAGCCCCGTCAGGTGTGTCCCAGGCTACCCCTCCTCCTTCGATAGCCCCTCCGGTACAGCCTCCCTCCCCACAGTCCTCCTCGCAGCGTGCCGCTGGTGCTAGCTCTCGAGAGGTTGGTGCTGCGCCTGTTCCTGTACCGGTTTCTGGTTCTGGGGGTGCTGGAGTTGGAGCTGGTGTTGGAGCTGGAGGTGGAGCTGGAGTAGGCACTGGAGTTTCTGGTTCTGGGGGTGCTGGAGTTGGAGCTGGAGTTTCTGGTTCTGGAGTTGGAGCTGACCCGGTGGGTGCAGAGGACTCTTGTCGTCCGGGAGCCGGTGCTGGCCGCGCGGACTCTGGGGGTGCTCCCTCTGGGGGTGAGGGTGCGCCTGCTTCGGGTTCTGGTGCGCCTGGGTCTGGAGCTGGTGTTAGTGCTGCCTCTGGGGGTGGTGCGCCTGGTTCTTCGGGGGTTGACTCTGGAGCTGCCGCTGCTTCGGA